GAGGCTGGGATTAGAATGGGAGTGCTGCTTACGTTGCAGGTTTGAGCTTGATGTCGAAGAGGTCGCGTCGTAAGTTGATTCGCTTGCTGGCGTCGTGCAGCGGGCTTAGGAGATGATTGAGAATTGGTGGCTTAATGTAGTGATGTGCGCCTGGATTGACTATTTGCGAAGCTGTGGAGCTTTGACCGTTGGGGTCGTCAGTTGTGGCTGTGGTCCTGCCACTCGGTGGTACAGGAAGCCGTCAGGTAAAACAGTTAAGGTGGGTAAAATTGTCAGCAGGCTTGTGAGCCAAGTCGGATGCCAGTTTGTTTGGCGTTGACTGCCAAGCTGGAAACGCTGGGATAGCTGGATCAGTGTTGCTAGCTCCCCCATGTGGTACATGCTGTGGCGCGCTTCTGGGCGGTGGGTGTGATGCTTGCGGTCGGTCATTCGGACTAGCTCTGAGCGTGATGTTGCGTTGCAGTGCTAATGGTAACTCCTCTGCAAACTGCTGGAGTGCCTCGTATTGGGCTGCTTTATCTTGTTGCTGTGGCGTGGTGATGGACTGCGGCGTGTCTCCAGCCGCCAAATCGTGCGTCGGCGTTGCTCTTTTGTGCTCTGGTGTGTGTGGCTGTGGTGTACCCGTTGGGTATATTTCGGTGGGTGTAGCTGAAGTGGTTTGGCGTTGTGGAGCTTTTGGCGTGCATGGTTCTGTTGGTGTGATCGGTGGTTCTCGTGATGAGTCGATAGTATGTGGGCATCCTGGGCGATTCAGGGAGTCGTGTTGGTCGTCATCTAGCTCAATCGGCAGGTTCTCTGCCACGTCGGTGCTTGGTGTCGTTAGTGTGTCCATGATGCCCTCTAGTTCGCCTGGGAGTCGGTTGATTTCCTCCTCTGCTTGAGCTCGCTGTGAAAGTTGACGTTGCCGATCCTGTCGTTCTTCGTCAAGCATGCGTTGCTCGTGGTCGACAAGTCGGTTGATGCGCATGCCTTCGTCCAAGTCGTGGCCATTGTCTGGCATTGCTGGTAGCACATGTCCGCGCTGGTGCGCTTGTCGCAAGGGGTTGGTGAGCTCGTCGTGTCGTTATTCGTGCCAGTGCCCAGGTCGCGCCTGTGCTTCAACGTGCTCCTCGAGTGTCGTCTGCCAGCGTCGACTGTAAGAGTTGTGTGCCTCGTTGGTAGTGCCTGGTTGTGTACAGGCGATGCTGGTAGTGCTGGTCAGCAATCTGGAGTTGCTCTGCTGCGTTGGATCGTGTGATGGTAGTTGTTTGTTCCTCTTGGGGCCGACCGTCTCGTCTCGTTGCGTTGCATCCGCTGCGCTGTTTTTTACTGCCCCTCGTGCAGCCAGGGCATCGGTGTCGGATAGTTCGTGAGCGCTTGCTCTGTGTGCCTCATGTTCGGTGCGTTGCTCTTCTTGTCTCTGGTCGTGGTGTGCGTATCATCTTGATTGTGTAATATAGTGTGTAAGTCCTGTTCTAGGAGTTGTATCCTCTGCTCGGTCATCCTGATGTATGGTGCTGGCGCTGTGGCGGCTTACGCTTGTTCCGTCTTGTAGTGGTGGTGGATCCGTTGAATGGCGTGTTACATGCTCTCTTTAGTCGTGTGTTCTGCTCTAAGAATGTGTAGATCTAGCCTTAGCTCGTTGGTGGTTGCTTGGGCTTCCTCTGCTTGCCTTGCTTGCACTTTGTTTTGTGGTTCTAGTCGATTATAGTTGTGCTTGAGCTGGTTGAGGTGGGCGTGATAGTTGAGAGCGCGTGTTGTGAGGCCTTCGATATGTTGGTGTCGTTGTTCTATGTGTTTTGTCGTAAGTGGTGCGTGTCGTTGATCCGCTTCCTCTAGTCGTCGTGTAGTCGATTCGCTGGCCAGCCGTTGTAGCTCAGCTCGTTGTACTGATTGAACCTGTTCTCGTGAATCGTGACAGTCGTTTGACAAGTAGTCGCTGGTCGTCTGCAACTGCTGTAGTGTGTCTTCAGCGTTGAGGAGTCGATGTTGCATGTGCTGGTCGTTGAACTTGTGTGCGTTAGCTGCTCGAAGGTCTTGGATAGTCTTGTCGCGTGCCTTTTGAAGGAGGTGCTTCAGTCCTTGGGTCTCGTCATGTTTGTTGCGGTTTGTTTGAGACGTCTTGCGTGGTTGTTGAGGTGTTTAGCTTTTGGGTATTTGCTGAGATGTATGTTTTGTGCGCGAGGGGATGGAATGCGTGGTGCTTGAGGGTTCGGTGTGTGCTGTCTGTGGTTGACAAGCTCCTTTTAGAGGTTGGTGTAGGTCATGTTCGGGGCGTATGGTGTCGTCGTGCTGGTGTTGGTTTGTTTGAGGTTCACGGCGGGAATATGTGTGCAAGCCGTGCAGGCGTCCTTGAGCCTTCGCATGTATTGCAGTTAGTTGCGTTATGTATTTTTGGTCGAGTAGCTGTCTTTTGATGACGGTTAGGTCGCGTCGAAGGTGGTCCGTCTTTGTGTTTAACATTGTCGATCAATATTTGCGAGGCAAGTTTCCTTATGTCTTCTGTCTTGGATGTGGTCCACGTTCCCACTTCCAATGGTGTAGCCTCTGGCCTGTCCTTTGCCTGTACGTCGTCGTGGTATGCTTCGGCGATGCTGTCGATAAGTATGTTGGTTTCTCTGTTGGCCTAGGCTTGGTGGTCTGCGCTGCTGCCAACGCTAGGTTGTGGAGGTTGTTTGCTAGGTTTGCTGTAGATTGGTGTTGGTCGTTGTTTGGTCCTCTGCCTGGGCGTTGACGCTCTTTGCTGGTTTGGTGTGTACTGTTGCTGTGTCCATAAGATTGTCGTTGGTGATGCCTGGTATTCGGTGTACCCTTTTTTATGCGTGTGGAGCATCTGCGGTGGGTAGTTGGTCGGAGCTTGTTGTGTGTTGGGTGCTGGACCCGCTTTGGCCCACTGGCTGCCATGTTGATCCCTTGCCTTTGCCGCAGTGCTGTGGTTGTTGGTATTTGCTCTTGCCTTTGCCTTTGGCTTGGGGTGCTTCTGTATGTCCGTGCATATGTTCGATCGTAGGACGGGGTGATTGCTGTGCGCGGTGGTGCTGGTTGAGTGGTTGACGTGCAGATTGTAGCTGGTATTGGGTGGTGTGGCCGAGTAAATTTCGTGCAGATACCACGCGTAGTAACGTGGGTGTTGCAGCTTTCTTGTCCCGTTCCTTGCGGTGCCAGGCCAGGTTGGGAGGTGGAGGTGGATTCGTGGTGGAGGTGAATGTGGGCCGGTGTGGCCATGGTACTATTTGGTATTTGGGCGCAGATGCGGGTGTCAATGTCGTGATCTTGCGGTGTTGACGTGGTTTCCGTCATAGTCGTCGAAGTCGTGATGTTTGGCCTAAAAGCTCAGCAAGTGGTGTTGCGTAACGCGAGAGAAAGTCAAGATGTATCGAGTGAACATGAGGGAGACGGATGGGATGTGTTGGGAAGTGTGGTATGTTGCGACAGTATTGGGAGATGTGGCCGAACTTTGATGGACTGCGCACTGCTCTCGGCGCACCCCAATCTCTCGGCGGTCAAGGGCTTCTTTCTCATCCTCCTCATCCTCCTCATCCCCCTTTCCTCCTCCTCTTCCTCCTCTTCCTCCTCCTTTCCTCCTCCTGCGACTGCCATCTACGGACAGGTCTGTGCGTAGCCCTGGTGCCGCCGTCCCCTCCCGCATCTCATCGCTGGCCTCTGTCTCCTCGTCCTCCTCATCCTCCACTCTCTGCCTCCTCCCTCTCCTCCTCATCCTCATCCGTCTCCCCCTCCTACCCTCCTCCTCCCCCTCCTCATGCTCCACTCTCTGCCTCCTTCCCCTCCTCATCCTCCTCCTTTCTTCTCAGGCGCCCCACTGCGTACCAGCGACACAGTGTCGAACACACCTGTAACAAATTCGGTCGCTCCTCATGGTGTGTGAAGCATGGCATAGCAGATGACGAGACCGCTGCGTCACGAGGCAGCACATGGTTGTGGCAGTAACGTGACAGCGGGGCAGCTGTTGTTGAGTAGACGGCAGACCGATACGGTAATCGCAGTAGCTCCGGACATGATGAGATGATGAGTTTCGAACGGATCGTTTGCCCGCATAGGATGTAGTAGCGAATTGGCAAGGGACAGGGGAAGGAGCAAAAAGAGGAGGAAGCAAGGCAACCAGCATTCCCGCGAGGATGAGCACGGGAGGGAGAGGAGGAGGAGGAGGAAGAGATGAGGAAAAGGAGGAGAAGGAGGAGGACTTAGGGCGCACCGGCCCCGATTGAATGGGACACTTGGGACAGTCGTTGGACACACAGCGGCCTGGACCTGGGACGCACCATGCGCGACGGTCTTGCGGCGAGCCATTGCCTGCACTTGGGACACACGGGATGCATCATGCTGCCAACATCGCAGAGCGAATTTCGTTCGTAAAGCAATTGGATGGGCCCAAATTCTCCTGGAGAGTGTCGTTCCGGATCTCGAAGAGAGTTTCGTGCGGAGTGTTATTGGTCAGGGATGAAGAGTACAAAAAATCCACGTGAAATTATTTCCATTGTTCGCTCGCCGTTTCGGGATTTTGCATTGACAAAAATCCCAGCAAAGATCAGCTGCAGCACGTCTGCAAGGCCGGTGCAGCCGACGTTCCTGGAGCGCGGGACGTTTTTTGTTTCGGGGGGTCTGCGATGACGCGCACGGCCCAACGCTATCGGGCTGCGCTGGATTCGGGACACACCGTCCTCGAGCGGACACGCGCGAAATGCTTTTGTGACGACCCTGGGCCGCCCCATGGTTGGTGCTTGGGGCGCACCGTCCTCGAGCAAGCTCTCTTGGAGTGTGGACCCCGTGCGCAGACCCAGATTGCTCAGGACGGGGGATCAGCTTCGGACAAATCATGGTCTCAATTTCTTTGTCCATCATCATGGGTGTCCGTCCAATAATCCGCTTCGTTCTGTCTTGGGTCATGGATTGAGGGGTTTTGCATTTTGACCTTGCTCATTTCGCTTCCCTGGTTTCCCCTCCCCTTGATAGCCTTTTCTACTTCTGGACGGGGCGGGCGGGGACAGTGGGTGTGGGCATGGGGTGGCGGTGCCTGGCCAAACGAGATGTGTTTATTTATCCTCGTCATTTCGGCTCCAGCCTCGTTGTGTGTGTGCGTGAAGGCTCTGCAAGTTCGCGTCGGAGGGCAGGCATGAAAATCCTAGGTCAGGCATGGTTTGCAACCTGGTTGCTCGTGTCAATGGCGTTGGCTAGCGCGCTCATCAAGCTCGTCAGCCTCATTGGACTTCCCAAGGAAAGGAGTGAGGGTATTGCTATAGCGATCATCCAGACAGCCTGGCGAATCTCTATATGTCTTACTCCATGGATGCGCTTCACCGCTAGTCGCGGATGGGACGAAGAGTGGGCGAAGGTTCTCGCCATTATGGAGGCAAGTGACGCCAGAACGAATCACAAACCTTGGATGTTTCTTTCGAACCACACGAGTTTCATGGATGTGCTACTGTTCACCACGCTCACGCGAACGAGCGTAATGTGGAAATGCCGGACGTACATGGACAATGCTCTCTTCAAGACGCCGATCCTCTCTTCGATTTGCCGGGGATGTGGCCACTTCCCAGTTTATTTCAAGAGCACAGAGGAGGGCAAATTCACAGTGGACAAGGAGAAGAATGCTGAAGTCGACAAACTTGTCGATGCGCATCTCAAGACTGGTAATTTATGTTTCTATCCAGAGGGGCAGGTGAACAAGGATCCAGACAATATCATGGCCTTTCGTTTCGGCGGCATGAAGAAGGCGTTGGATGTTGATGCGCGTTTGGTTCTGTTCGTCGCTGTTGGCAATCCAAGGGTATGGCCTAAGAAAGCACCCGTTGGAGGCATGCCAGGACATGTCAATTACGGTCTCAAGTTGATAGCTCCTGATGGTGCGAAGGCATATGTGGCTCAGTTGCGGGGTCGAGACGATTTGACGACAGAAGACAAAGAGATGGCAGACCACGAGTTGATGGCAAAGTTCTTGCGATTGGCAATGCAGGAAAACTACGACTGTCTCAAGGAGGGGGCCAATGACAACAAGGCAAAAGACGATTGAGCCATCGCGGTAAGCAGCAGGTCTCACCACGCCGAAGGCATTACTTCACAAGCAAAGTGCTGGTAGGTCTTGCGCGCAAAGAGAGTCGTCCATCTCCTTTCCAATCCCCATCAAGTGTCCAATCAGACATAATTGCAGTAATCGTATGTGTGCCTCCCGGGTGCCTCGGGTAGCGAGGGCACTGTAAGATTGCTGCGGGCCCTGGGTGAGGAGTGATCGCGGGAGATGATCTAATTTGCTGGTCATTGAGAATCCGTTGGTAGGGTTGCATGGTCCCACTTTCTGAATTGAAGGGTGCGGCGCCATCGCGTAGTTGTTAAGTTTCTCATGGTATTGGGTCCTCGTTTTGAATCCGCACTGCCGCGCGTCTCCTCACTCACTCACCTCCTTCCCCTCCCTCCTCATCCTTCTTTCCTTGCCTCTGTTCTTACCATGTCGGTTTCGGCACACAGTACCCATCACACGTCTGGTGCCTCCATAAAGGGCTACACCAACGGGCCCAGTGGGTGCGGCCGCATGTCACCTCCCAGCCTCTTCCGGCCATTACTCACACATTTCGTTGCCCCACGGGGAGTTCTTCTTAAGGCCCCAGTGGGCGCGCACACGCCGTCCCCCCGCCCAGTTCGGCGCACCACTCACGCGTTCCGTGCCCCTACAAAGGTCTCCATTTGCGGCCCAAGTGGGCAAAGCTGCATGCCGCCACCTGTCGCCCATTTCGGCATCCCTCACACGGATCGTGCCCCACGTGGAGCTCGATGTTCGGCCTTAGCGAGGAATGTTGCATGCCGCCGTCAGCCCAGGAAACGGGACGAAGAGACACATGTAGTGCAACGAAGCGGACAACCCTGGTGAACAGAGAGATCTCTGAGAGCAAGGGGGTTGCCTTGGAGGGCCTCTTCTGGCCCGCGTGGGGGCGAGGGAAGGAGGAGGAGAAGGAGGAGGAGGAGGAGGGAGACGATAACGACGACGACCACGAAGAGGACGAGGAGGAAAAGGACAAGGAAGACAAAGAGGGTAAGTACGATGACGAGAACGAAAAAAAAGACAATGAGGACGAGGACAGTGCCCTCAAAATTGCCTCTTGGAGCTTTCTTGGGTCTCTTTTGGGGGATCTTGGGGTCCTCTCGGGGCCCTTCTAGGGGTGTCACGCATCGGAAGCGAAAAGGCGATAAGTCAAACAGTATCGATGTTCGTTTGGTGCTTGAAGGATTTGGGCCTCTTGAGGGGGTCCTGAGGGGGCACCAAGTGCACTTGGAACCGTCTTGTGGCCCTCGTCGGGCCTCTTGGAGGGATGTCGGAAGCTACCTTCAACCATCGTCGGTTATTGTGAGCCATGTTGGAGGCCATATTGGAGCATCATCGGGCGCTCTCTTGGAGCCATCTTAGGCCATCTAAGACGTTCTAACGATTCGCGTCTCGCCCTGCAAAACCTCAGGGAGGGGGGGGGGGCTCGGTAGACCTCCTGGAAGGGAAGATGTTTTTTATCGTTAGACCACTTTAGGCCACAGGGCTGGTAGGATTCTGCATGTCGCCCCTCGCAGTCCAGTTTGGCACTTCGCATGGCGTAACGCTGCTCATATGGCAGCACCTGTCACGGATATCGCAATGCACATGGAGTTCAACCTACGGCTTCAGTGGGTGCACTCGCGTGGGGGGTCCGCCCGATTCGGCACCGCCCTCACGCGGATCGTGCCCAGCAGGGGGTGCGTCGCGCTTTTGCGTGTTTACTCCGCAAGTCCTCTCTGGTACATAATGTATGCCCCTGGCGTGTTTTCTGACCATTCGAGAATCGAAGGCGCCTACGGCGAAGCATCGTCGCCCCCAGCCTTTCTGGAAATGCCGACGTGGTTAAACGTTGGGTCAACGCATGGCCAAACCATTGGACTATGTGTTCCCCCAGCCATTGTATAGACCCTTTGGGAGGAACACATGTGGAAGGAAGAGAGGAGAGGGATCTTGTCCAGTGCACCACTGCAGCCCAAGCTCCAAGCTTGCAGAAACTCGTGGGATGGAACTGAAGGGCAGAAAAGGGAGAAGGAGGGTGAAGAGGACGAGGACGAGGACGAAGCTGAGCGCGAGGACCAGGACGAAGGTGAGGACGAGGACGAAGAAGAGGAGAAGCAGCAGGAGGGAGAGGTGGTGGTGGCTACGGCATTGAGGCGGTCCTCGTGTCAAACACATGACCGAGTGATCGGAAGAATCACGTGGCCCGTGAGACAGGGCAGCGCGCGTGCCTCCGATGCCGACCGCAGCCCTCTGAAGCCAGGAGGGGGTCACTCGGCCGTGAGCCCGCAGCCTGCCGTGGGGCACCTGGCCTGCCAGGCAGGGACAGCAGCGGGGATGCGGACTGGCGGACGCCAGAGAAAAGCGAACGCTGTAACGCTGCACAGTCAACCCGCATAGTAAGGATGGGCAACCTTCCCAAGGGTACCCTTGCATCCTCGCCCCTTCGGCCCATCCTTAGCGACTTTTGCTGGCCAACCTCGCTCGAGAAACATTAGTATGGTGCTCCAATGCCCTTGCATCCTTACTGCGCATCCTTAAGATACGGGTTGACTGTGAAGAAGGTTCCAGGCTATCTTGTCAAGTCAAGAATATGTTGTGCTTAGCATCCACTGGACCTGTTCGAAGGCCCACGAAGGGAAACCCACAGGAACTCCGATGGAGCACGCGCGGCAATCCAGCACATCACAACGACAACGTGAAAGACAACCGATGTGGCATGCAAATGGGCCTCTCCGCTGAAATATGCACAGGAAGCTTTCCACTGGAAGCAGACCTGGGCACCGTCAGCTGAGAGTGTCACGAACTACCCACTGGAGAAGCGAAGCAAACCTTGGAATACGCACACACACACACACACATGTCACCCACACACACAGAGAAATATCACATCCGCCAACTTGCCTCACATCCGCCAACCTGCCTCGCGGGCCAGGAGCGGGAGTAGAGGGAAGAGAGGGAGACGAGGGAGGAGAGGGAGGAGAGGAGGAGGAGGAGGAGGAGGAGGAGGAGGAGGAGGAGGAGGAGGAAAGGGAGGAGGAGAAGGAGGAGAAGGAGGAGGAGGAGGAAGAGGAGCAGGAGGGGCAGGAGGAGCAAGAGGAGGAAGAGAAGGCTTCTTGGAGCCTCTGAGGGCTTCCTGGGAGCCTCCTGGGGGCCTCTTGGAGTCTCTTGGGCTGCATCTCGCGGGCTCCTTGGGGCGTCTCGGGGCTCTGGGGGGGGAGCATGATGGGAGGTGTTGGGCATCTCGGCGGGGAAGGCTCCAAAGGTTCCTTGGAGTTAATCCTCCTCTTGGCCCTCTCTCGGGGCCCTCTGGTGCCTTTGTGGGCTGTCTTGGGGGTCTCGTCCTCTTGGAGCTTTTTGGGGCCGTCTTGAGGCCATCTTGGGCCGGTCTTGGAGGCCTCGGAGGAGGGTGGGTTTGGACGCTCTGAATCGACTACACGTAGGAGTGACCCTAGGCTGCAGTGACATTTGGTGCGCGGCTTCAGGGTCGCTGGTGGGGGCCCAACGCAGCTGCCCGATCCGGCACTGCCGCCCCACATCAACGATCCGCGGGACGCCACTCGAAAGATGTTTTGCGCCAGCGGGCAATATCGGAATTCCGCCAAGTAAACTCGAACGCCCCGAGTGGCACTTCGAAGGCGCTGAGAAAGCAGACGGTGCCAGGGAGCACCACGATGAGGTCTGTCTTTGCCAGGCCGCATCGCGATGACGTCTGACCAGGTCCGGCGTTATGACCAAAACCGGCCATAGCTGCGGGCCCAGAATATGTCTGAAAATGTTTGGAAAGTTTGCAATAGTAAGAATCCCCAGTTGTTGAGAAAATAACCCAGTCGAACAGATTCAACCATGTATCAAGATATTCGAAAGATCCAAAGATATCTCAATAGATCCAAACCAGACGATTTGGGATGTGGGCTGGGACTCGGGATGCGAGCGCAATCACGCGTTACGGGTCCCGACGCGAGGTCAGGCTCATTCCAAAGGAAAAATCACCCGACCCCCTTGCGGCCAGCACCAAAGGTCACTCTAGCGAAGGGTCACTCTTACGTGTAGTCGACTGAAGGCCCAGGATATGCGATGAGGAGTTCATCCCCTCTCCCCGCCCATGTCCCCCCCCTCTCCTTAGAGCGGGATGGTTTATGTTGTGGGCGAGGGGAGAAGGGAGATAGTCAAATGTCTCAGACGTTTTCTTCATCCCCAGCAGACAGGTGTCTTCGGATTCTTGCATGACCGTTTCTCATACGTAGCAGCCGAGGTTGCCATGAGTCTGAAGTTGGGCGAAACTCTCTGTTTGCGCCACACCCCCTCCTCACACGCACACACACACATCCCATCCGCACCCTTATCCTCCTTCCTTGGCCTCCGCTCTCCTCATCCGCATCCTTCTCCCCTGCCGTCCTATTTGTTCCGTTGCTGCGCATCATCTTTCTGCATGTCCTCATTACAAGTGGATATTTTCGGTCCGTGGCCAAATTTGGCTCGAGCTCGAGTGTTTTCGTTGTTTTGTAAAAAATTGTACGTATTCTTGCACCACCACCCCACTGCACGGTTTCGCGACGTGGTCGTTGGGGACGATGCAGCTTACGGCAGGGATCTTCGTTTTGTTCACAGCGCAGACAGGAGCCAGGCGCCAGTCGTACGACACTGTGAAACTTTCCGTGGATCAAGACGAGGAGCCATACAGTGCTGAGGAGTTCGGGGGCCCGCCTGGCATTGATATGAAATGTGCTGTGGGAGTGTCAGCCCCAGGCATCGGCGCAATCACGAAGAGTTGCTCGGACCACGGTGAATGGGCACAGTGGGGGCTGTCATTGTCAGGCAATGGTCTGATGGCGGAGGCAGCTGCCGCTGGCACGCTCAGGGCACTGAGTCAAAATGGTGTCCTTGAACAACTCTCTTCGATCTCGAGCGTGAGCGGAGGCAGCTGGTTCAATACGCAGTTTGGGTTTTCAGAGGAGTACTTTGACGGTGTTGTCAACGCGAGCACTCCCATCGATACGTTTTACACCTCGTACCAGGGTAAAGCCATGGCAGGACTTGGTGCTGCTGCCACGAACCCTACTTGGGAGGGAATGATCACAGCCATGTACAACGGCTTCGGTAGCGGGCTCGATACTACGCCAGCGCTCAATGGAAACAGGGCAGGGAATAAACATGCGGATCTTCTGTTTTGCACCACTCTCAATGGAGAAAGCCTTATGAGCGACAATACAACCGTCGTTCGGATGTCATCGACATCCGGCACGGCCGCGTTTTACTCGAATCCTGCCTTCTGGTTGGTCCCCACAGTCGGGAGTGCGTCGTGGAGCGTTCCAGGGGTCGACCTCTCAGCTACAACGTGGACGGCAGGCTCACAGTCAACGGCGAATACCAGCCACGTACTTCCTGCCCCCACAGTCACCAAGATCGGCGCGATGTCCTCCGCTGCGAATGGTATCACCTCCAACCCTCAGCTTTCTGCCCTCATGACGCCT